GCTGAACCACCTTACGAGCCCTACCTTATTTTTTGAGACTGGATCTCTCACTGAACCTGGAGCTCACCATTTTAGCAAGACCCTAGGATGTACCTGTCTCTCCTGGGCTCACAGATGTGAGCTGCTACTCCCAGCTTTAACTGGGCACTAGGGACACTCGCTTAGGTTCGAATACTCACAACAAGGACTTTACCTACTGAGTCAGCCCCCTAACCTCCTTTTTGGGGAGTGGGTTTTGAAGACAAGGCCTTGCACAGCCCAGGCTGGCCTTGAGGACTCATCATCCTTCTGCCTCCCCCTCCTGAGTACACTGTCACGAATCACCACCAGTGCTGGGGTCTGAACCCAGGATTTTGTGCAGGTTGGGAAACGCTCTAAGTTACCCCTCTAGCCTAATGGAAACAAAATTTGATTCACTATCCCATAGGGCTTCAGATCAAAGGGAACAAGACAATTACGCACCTGATCCAAAAGTCCAAACTTGGGGTAATCTTCTTCTGGGTCTTTGCTTCCTGGATCGGGATGTTCCTTTACCAAGAATACATCTCTTTCCTTACTCTAAAAGGAAACCACATTTTGGTATTAATGTAAATTTTTTACGTAGAAGTACAGAACAGATAGATGTTCAGTCACCAACTCCAAATGTCAATTCCTAATTGGAATTCCAAAAGACCCAAGGTTTCCCTTTATTAGAAAGTTACTATAAAATTCAAAACAAAGAGACACTTAAAGAGAGCCAGTGCTAGGCTGGGCATATAGCTTAGTTGGGACAGCTCTTGCATAGCATGCATTAAGGTTTGGTCCCCAGCACTGCAGAGAAGAAAAAAAGAAAACAAACAACAGCTTCTATACCCCCCTCACCCCCATCCCCAAACCAGGCATGGTGGCATCCAGCTATAATCCTGGCACTGTAGAGGTGGAGGATCAGAAGTTCAAGGTTGTCCTTGGATGCATACTGAGCTTAAGGCCAGCCTGGGCTACATGACCTGCTTCCCGCTAGCTCTCCATCCTACACCAAGGTAAGCAGGGCTGACAGCTTACTGCTGACTGCTCCCAGGTGCTCTCACTGCTTCTAAAATCAATGTTCAGAACAAGATTTCATTTTATTTAATCAAAGAAAAAATGGTCTCCAAGTTCAATATAAAATTAAATTTACGCAGGCGGGGTGGCGCAGGCCTGTAATCCCAGCACTTGGGAGGCAGAAGCAGGTGGATCTCTGTGAGTTTGAGGCCAGC